ATACTATTAATGCTTGTCCTATTCAACCCACTGCAAAGTATATTACCAGAAACTATTTAAAAAATTTGAGACAATAGTCTCTTTGGGCTTAGCAGCATTCACTACTTCTGCTTCAAATTACTTTTACTAATCTTCTAGAATCTTTTCACAGTGAGTTAAAAGCAAAAATTTCTGTTCAATATAATTTGATTGGTGAGTATTTTTACTAGTTTGAAACTTTTTATATTTTATTTTTGGCATTAAAAATTTGTGCCAGGTTTTGTCAATCACTCACCACATAGCAAATCGAATTTGCATTGCTAAGATAAAAAAGAAAAAAAATAGAAGATAAAAAAAAATAAATTGGAAGATAACAAAAGAAGAAAATATTAAAATAAAAAAGATAATAAGATAAAATAAATAAAACAAAGAAAAATAAAGATAAAAAAAGACAAATAACTGCAAGATAATTATATATTATATATATATAAATAAATAAAAACAAATATTTTAATAGTAATAAATATTTGTTAATCTTAACTTTTAATTTTTGTAAAATACAACTTCTAAAATATATATTTTAATAATTACCAAATTAAAAATTATAAAATTGTATAAAGACTTTTTATTAGACAAGAGCTTTCAGTAGTTATATTATTTTTTAATAATAATTTAGAAATTCAAAAGTTACAATATTATAAAATATAATAAATATTTAAAAATATAATATCTTATCAAAATTTTAAAATCTAAATCAATAGAATTTAATCTTTTATTGATTAATAAAACTATTAGTTTAGATTTATATTAAAAAAACAAAAATTTGTTGTATCAATCCTATCAAAATTTAATAATAGTAATTTATAAAATTGAATAACTTTATTATAAAGCAGTTTTAAATTATTAGCAAATATTTTAATTAATTTATTTTTATTAGTTAATTTAAGTAATTAAAAATTTTAATTTTTTTCTTTTAAATACTTATTATAAGTTACTTATTAAAGTAGATATTAGTTTATATAACATAGAACTTTTTAATAAAAATCTTTATAGTTTTTATTTGACTTTATACTTGCATATTGTTATATGAAAAATTGGATATCAAATTATACAACTTATTCTAAAAAAATAAAATTATCTTCTCAAGTTAATATATTTTTATTAAAAAAATTATAATACATCAATTGTTAAATATTAAATATACTAATTCTAAAATATTTTTAATTTATTAACCAGTTAAACAAAATAAAAAAATTAATTGTATTAAATAAAATCTTAAGTAATATTTTAGATTTATGTAAAAAAAATTCAATATAAAACTTAAAAAATTTACTACTGCCAGACTATACTTAAAATAGCCTTTAAACTCTAAATAACAAATATATAATTTTAAATTTAGTTGATAATACAACTATAGATTGGCTAAAAAATTTTATAAAAAATAAATAAACCAAATTTATTTATCAAATTAATTCAAACTTATAATAAAATAAATACTATATGTTTCTGAAAATAAGCTACATCTGAAAGAAGCTATCTTCTTTTTTTGGAAGAAAAACTAAAACCTTTTATATCCAAAATAAGCTATTATATAATCACTAGTAGTTATTATATAGTAAAGTCAAAATTTACTAAGTAAATCAATATAGCTTATTAAGTAAAAGTTGTTCAGAAAATCAAAATACATATATTTTAAAAGTTTTATGCAAATCAGGTAACTTTTTATTAACACATTTTTGGATGTTATGTTTGACAAAATTTTTAAAATTTTTTTAAAATTTCTTTGAAATTCATATTTGTTGAACGTAAAAATCAAAAGTCAATTAATAAAAAGTTATCTGATTTACTTGAAATTATTAGGATAGTATTTTGTTCTCCTGAACAAACTTTAATTAATACACATCATCGATTTGCTTAATAAATTTTTTCAAAATTGAGCAAAAATCAATTATATCTGAAAATAAACTACTACTGGTTTTTGTATTCAAAATTATACAAAAAAGGGTAGCTTATTTTTAGAAATATATGGTAATAAATCTTTGTTAAATTTTGCTAATATTTTTTTGTAATATATATTATAAATAAATATTAATTATAAATTATACAAATATTATCAAATATTGATATAACAAAATTTGAGCTGATTAAAAAATTTTATTATAAAGATTAAAATTTTATAATTCAATTAGTATATGAACTTAAATTGAGATCTCAAATTTAGTATAAGCTATAACAATAATTTAGATAGTAGTAGGTTAGTGATACTATAAAAAATTAATAATCACATAATAATCTTTATATATGATCAAAATTTATTAATCAAAATTTTTTTATTAGATAAAACTATCAAAACAAAAATTTTTCTAAATATTTGATAAAGATATCTCAACAACTACTTGACCAAATTTGAAAAAAAATTTATTTAAATTTTATGCATTCTTAGAATTTGAATAAAAAAATTTTTATCAAGTTTGGTCAGATAATTGTTAAGATATCTTCATGCAAATTTTTAAAAAATTTGATGCAACTTCTATTTTTTAAAATATTTAATTTTTTTTAAAACTTTGAGTGAAAAAATCTCAACAACTATTTGACCAAATTCGATAAAAATCTTTTATTTGAATTTTATAGATTTATAGAATCTAAATAAAAAATTTTATCAAATTTCATCAGAAATTGTTAAGATATCTTTACACAAAGTATTAGAAAAAATTCAAAAAGTCTCAAAAAAAAATGTGAATTTTCTAAATATTTGAGCAAAGATAGCTTAATTCATACCTAATCAAATTTGATAAAATTTTTTTATTTAAATTCTATAGGTTTATATAATCAAAATAAAAAAAATTTTATTGAATTTGATTAGGTGGGTGTCAAGATATCTTTGCTTAAAGATTTAAAAAATTTAGGGCAATTTTTATTTTGATAGATGTGAGTTTTTTCTAAAACTTTGAGTGAAGATATCTCAACAACTACCTGACCAAATTTGAAGAAATTTTTTTATTTAGATTCCATAAATCTCTAAAATTCAAATAAAAAAATTTTCATCAATTTGTTAGATTATTGTCAAGATATTTTTGTACAAAGTTTTAGAAAATTTGGTACACTTCTAAAAGGTATTTAGAGTTTTTTCTAAAACTTTGAGTGAAGATATCTCAACAACCACTTAATCAAATTTGATGAAAATTCTTTTATTTGATTTCTATATATTCACAAAATTTAAATAAACAAATTTTTGTCAAATTTGGTTATGAAATCATTGAGATATCTTCGCTCAAAGGTTTAAAAAATTTTTGTTTGATACCCTACCCGTATAAAAATTTCGACCAATAAATTTTGATCCTGCATGAAGATCGCATGTGACTGCCGATTTTTTATGGCACCACTAACCTACTATTTAGATAGTAACAGAGCAGATTCACTTGCAAAGATTCTTTATAAAAACATAGCTTTAATATCCTTAAGTCTCGGTTCTACCAAATTTAGTTTTAAAATGAAAAAGTACTTGCAATGGCTCTTTACAGCAATAACTCTTTGACATCCGTATGCCTTTATGATATTGGTTTGGTGCAAAAGTTCTTTGCAAGGAATACTACTCTGATCTTCCTGTTTTTTTCATAATAATAATCTTGATTTTGAAGGAATAAAAGCTATAGCAGATGTTCTTTGCAAGAATGCAGTTTTAACCTTTCTGAATATTAAAGATAATGGCCTAATTTTGACAGTGTAAAAGTGATACAGAAGTTCTTTGTAAAAGTTTCTTTAACTTCTTTGGCTATCAAGAGTTTTCCATTTGAAAATAATCAAAAGCTCTTTACAAAAAGCTGCCTTCACTAAATAGGGAGATCCCTAGCGATATTAAACAAAACCAATGCGCGTAAACAAATTCTATTGCCATACAAAAGATTATATCATATGTTATCAAACGAATTAGCAGACCAATTAAAATTTATGATATTTGCCTTTTTTTAGAAAGCATACCATATATCTCTGAATATAAGCAACACGAATAAAAGCAACTCCAGATTTTGGTGCTAAAAATTTGGCAAAGGTTGTTATGGTTTACTAATAAAATTATCCCTTATTATAATCAACCCCTTCATTTTTGACTCGAAAAATTTGTAAAATTTTGGTTGCATATATTTGGAGATATATGGCATCTGAATCAGAATAACGTGTATTTTATCTAATAATTAATATTTGAATAAATCTTAAATAGTTTAGGGAATATACTAATCTTATCATCAGATCTACAATTTATTGATATGATATGAATAGTAAATACATTTTCTTGATTCTCTTACCTATATGAATAATTACTAAAAATAAAAGGCCATTGTTATTCTGTAAGTACTTTATAATTAATGTTTGTATAATTCTTAAATGGATTAGAGAATATATTAATCTTATTGTCAGATCTACAGTTTATTGTAGAGCTAATACAATAATTTTATTTGATTTCTTCACTTATATGAATAATTGCTAAAAATAAAAAGCAATTGTTATTCTGTAAGTACTTTCTAATCAAAATATCTAATCTGCTATGTAAAAACTTACATGATTCAACATGAAAATTTGATGCGATTTGGTAGTTGCTAGAATGAAATTATTTATTGTACTATAAGTACTTTATGATCAAAAAATATATAAATAATTATGTAGAACCTTACATTGTACAGATTGTTTAATTGATGAGATTTGCTTTTCACAATTTGTATTCTTAATGTTATCATTCATTTCTAGTTTTTCAGTCGTAAATCGAGGCAATTTATATTTTGAAACAATTGATTGCACATTTTCTCCGGAAAAATCGTTCATAATTTTAAGTCGAACTGTTATATTAGAAATTCCATTAGTTTGAACATATAATAATTCAAAATACAGCATTTAAAATAATTTGAAGATTTGAAGCCTATGTACATATCCATAGTTGATAATCATTGAGTTGGACGGTGTTCCATTTATCAGCTAAATTTCAAAAAAATTAGTCATAATTGTGTCAGAAAAATAATTTCAAGAAATACTAATAACATGCCTTCTACTTCAACTTTAACATTGTCTCCAAAATTAACATCTAAAATACAAAATAAAGCAATTATTAGTTTTATGGAATTAGCAATTTCAAATATCACTCATTATAAAAGACATCGAATAGTTTATCAACTAACCATTTTTATGCTCCGAAATACCTGGTTCTTTCTCATCATTTTCTACAAGGAATATTATAAACATAAATGCCAAGTCTTTAAATACGCAAATATCGATAATAAATTAGTGTATACCTATAATTTTGCTCACGCTTTTAGCCGAAAAAGAATAAGTATTATCCAATGGGCATAATTGATTTTTTTCAAATTGTTTCACTATTTCTGAATCAGGATCATTATCAAATTTATTGAGCCAACCCAACACTTCTTGATATACTTCATTAGCAGTTGGACGTTCGTCAGGGTTCATCTTCCAGCATCTTTTCATCAAGGATTCGTAAACTGGTGGTGTTCCCGTGACAACTTCCGGGCGAAACCCTTTGCATATTTGTTTAATCAAGCCTATATCATGTTCTTGACCAGAAAATGGATGTATTCCCGATATAAGTATCCACATAATCATTCCAACACTATAAACATCCGATGCTTTGCTATAGTAGTTGCGATCTAAAACTTCTGGTGCCACGTATGGTATAACACCCACACGTGATGTTCCAATATCATTTACTGGACGAGTAAAACCTAAATCAGATACAGAAATCGTTCTCCGATAATGAAGAAGGTTGCCAGGATGAATATCACGGTGAATCATTCCCTTTTTATGGATCTCGACTAATCCATATAATGTGAAGCGAAGAATCTCTAATCTTTTTACCCAATTCAAATTCGAAGCCCTTTTTTTCAAATATTTCCTTAAGTCGCCTCCGTGAGCTAAAGGAAAGACAATAACACAATTTCCAGTATTAGGTTCTTTTGATATTCCATAACAACGAAGTACTGTGCTAGAGGAAGACTTTATAGATGCATTAATCTAAAAATAATTTATAAAGATACAATAAGTAACAAAAATCTTATTAGATTTTATATAAATGCCTATATAATAGCATGGATCCGCGTCATTTCACCGATAGTTAATCCACCGACAAGTTTATTTCATTGACAATTACCTCACTGGCAAATTTTTTTAAAATTGCACTTAATTCTAATCCTATCTTAACGACAATAACCAGAATTAGTTCGTCGTTGAAATGACTGTTGGTGAAATAAATTGTCAATGAAATAAGCTGTTGGTAAACTAAGTTATCGGTGAAATGATAGTCGATGAAATAACCAGAACCCCCATAGCTTACTTCATCGAAAAAGTCTTGACGTATATTTGTAGAATCATTAAGCACCTTTAATGCTACAGGGGTGTTTGTATGATAAACCCTTTTTCCAAGAGCATAATCCCAAGTACCTAATCCATCAACCCATTTTGCTTCATAGACAACTGCAAATCCACCCTCACCAATCTTTCTAATATCAATGAATTGGTCATAAGGTATCCAATCTACATATCCATTAGGATAAGTGATTGATTGTTGTGAATCATTTAGGAACTTGTCGATCTCTAAATTGCCACTTGCCCTAAATTTTTGTTGAAACTGTTTACGATCGCAGAACACGCACCATTTTATATATACATATGGCTTTTCACATTCAGAACATTGTTGTGGTTGTTTACTATAAGCTGGTGTCCTGCCCATTCGCACTCTATTAAGTTGAAGTTTGGTCATTTCGAATGTCGCACGGCATTCGTTAATATTTTTTTCATATTTATCCAGCTTATTATTAATATTATCAAAAATAATTTTTAAATAATCATCAACTGGTGAATTCAAAAGATTAAGTTGATTATAGACCATTTCCATATTACCACACATTTCCTTAATAGAGTGCGAATGGGCAGGACACCA